AAAGAGCTCCAACTTCAAATATATTATAAAAAACCAAAAAGTAAAAGTCTAGATAGATAAAGAATCTTTAAGAATAAAATATGAACCAATAAAAGCATTCATGGTGAATCTGAAGCAATACAAGTAGTAATCTAAGAAGCATCCAATCTCTTTTTCAGCTTTGAACTCAAACTATCCTTCTACTTCATCCTTAGGGATGGAAATTTTATTTAATATATTTGGAAATTCAATGTAATCACTAGATAAAGTGTGATAAATGTGAATTCTCAATTTTGGTTAACAAAAATTTTCATGGGAATAACTCTATAGTGGGTGAGAAGAAGGATGAGAATGTGGATAAGGTGATTGGTGAAATGCCTACTAGAGTTTTTAATGGGGTTAATGTTAATCCCTGGAGTAAGAAGCCATATATCAAACTGGACTTTAAGGATGAAGATATGGTTTTGTTAGATGATGGAAAGGCTTTTAAGATGAGTGAAGAGAATGAGATTTTGAATTCAAACAATTTGTTGTTCGTTGGAAAATAAGGTATTTTGAAAGGAATTACCATCCCATATGGTGGCATGGGAAGTGACCAGGCAATGGAGTCAATTTGGACAATTATATTTTACTTCCCTTGGAGGGGGTTAGTTTTTATGTTCTCTCAATTCACATTAGATGGTCAAAACTATTCTTTCAGGTGGCCCATGGTTTGTGAATGAACATATAGTTGGTATGGAAAAACGGACTTCAAATTTTTCTCCTTTGTCCATGAAGGGTCTGACCTCTTCGATATAGATAAGAATAGCACATTTACCATTATAATGTTGGGATGAGGTGAATGTGTCAAGGATTCTGAGATTCAATTCATTTTAGGAATGTTTGTATGAGTTGGAATTGTTGCCTAGAACTAACCCGCTGGTGGTTCAGATATACTTCTCTCTGTTATGATTATCCTAGAACAATAGAAACAAGGTGATGCATGGAAAGGTGGAGGATAGTGAAGTGTTGATTGCTTCTAATGTTCTTAGTTTTGTCAGTATGGCTAAAAAAATTAAAATCCTCTCGGATCACTAGGATATCATTCAGTCTTACGGACTATTTTCTTAATTTTGGCATCTTCCTCCTCCCGAGTGGTGTAAAATAAACATTGATGCTAATTCAAATCCAGCATAAGTTATTCTAAACCTCTTAAAAGATGAAAATATCAAGGAAAGAAATAATTATTGTGAACTTAGTTTAATGAATCCTTAAATAGAATTAGTATCTATAAATCTTCTAGTTCATCTCCAAAATAACCTAACATAATGACCACACTCCAATTTGTTGTATATGATGTTATTTCGGTGATCAATATATCGTGCAATGATTTAAATATGGGATTCATTTAGATTGTTCCATTCACCAACCTGTTGAAATCTTCTATATATTGACTTAAAGAACGAGCCCCTTGCCCATAATGTTGATATTTTAGGTAAATTATTTGCTCAAAATTAGTAGGAAGAAAATAAGCCCTCAAATACTGCTTCATCTTATACCAACTCTAAATCTTTCATTTCCTTTCTCTTTGTCTCAATTGAAGCAATTGTGCCCACTGAGGACTAGCACCTTTTTTCATCCTATAAAAAAAACATACTTGCCCACTAAGCACTAGCACCTTTTTTCATCCTATAAAAAAACATACTCACTTATTTGTCTAGGTTAACCTCCATGTACTCAAAGGTCTCTAGTTCTAGTAGTGTTCAATAAGTAGACATCCAGAATAGAATGAAATATGTTCCATGGTATCATAAAGTTTCTCCAAATCAATATCATAGAGAGTTAGTTGGTGATATAAAGTTTCTCCTGAAAAAGTTACAGAGTTGTTTTCTTTTTAATTTGACAAAAAAATTAATTATTTTAAAAATTTTCTCCATATTTATTCAATGGTTATTTAAAATTATAAATTCTAAAATTTTATAGGGTTCAAAAATTAAATTTTTTAATAAAAATTTGACTTAGATAATTGAAATTATATGATATAATTCAAGTTAGAGAATTAGTCTGCTCATGCCCCCTTAATTTGCCCATTTATTTTACTAAAAAATTATATCACTTCAAATGAAGTATGAAATTTCATTAAGACACTTTGGAAAAGGATTTAATTTCGATGCCTTTGGCCCCGCTCACTGACACCTAAGCTGGAGATTAGGACTTTTTTTGTTAAGGATGAGCATAAGTTTTAAGAATTGTATAATAAGTATGGATGAACATACATGTGCATGATGCATGCAGATAGTGGTGAAGTCATAATTATTTCATGTAGGGGCATATTATTTAGGAAAAAAATTCTTTTATGTTACAAAAATGTTAATCACATAATTGATCATTATACAACTCTCATTAATATATTGTTAGGGAGCTTTGGCTATCAACTAGAGGACTTGTGATCTAATGTTGCGTAAGTAATCTGCACGTTAGTATACCTAAATTAGCCTAAATTTCCCCATATTTAAGGTATACAAGATTAGTTGTTCAAAGCTTTAAGGTGTTCAGTTGTGTAATGCAATGGGCAGGGAAAACTCAAAAGCCATAAATGTTTCCATTTACAAACCAGAATAAAAATGAAAATTGCAGCCAAAATGAGAACATAAGGGGTTAAGTAGAAGAAAAATAATTGATGATTTTTCTATGTAAGTGTTTGATAGTGATTTGTATGTGAGATTAGCTAAATAACCTAAATGTTCCCAGATTTAAGGAATATGTTATTAGTTCCATCAATGCTTATGGTGTTAAGTTCTATGATCCAATAGGTTGGCAAAACTCACAAGCCTTAAATGTTTCCATTTAAAGACTAGAACAAAAAGGAAAATTGAAGCAAAAATGAGAAGTTAAGGGGTTAAGTTGAAGAAAAAAATATGATGATTTTACTGTTTAAAAGTGCATTGCCAAACGATTTACATTATGTTCGGATTTCAAATTTCAACTTCGCGGGAATTGTGGAATCCTGATGGCGGCGGATGTTCGCCGTCATCTGATGACCGGTGGCAAGCCAGAGGATCGTCGCAACATTAAAAATCCATCTACAACTTCTTCTCGTCTTCTCCTTTCTCCTCCAGCGTTTGGAGATGACAACCTCGGGCTCAAACATAGAAGTGCTAAAGGTATTCTTATTAATGATGGAGGCTTTGATGAAAGAAAAATTCCATATGTTATTGGTAAATGGAAGGAATTAATGGCAGAGGAAAGGATTGAGGAAGTTTTTTTTAACAAGAAGGCATTGGCTCCGGAGGGTGGATTTGAGGCGTCGAGTTCAGTTTTGCCACCAATTGAGAAAATTACACCAGAATTGAAAAGGTCTGAAGGCACTAAGAGAGACTCTTCGTCTATAATCACTAAAGATGTTTCTGAATCTGAGAAAATGCTTCATTGAATCTAAAGGAGAAGATCAATTACATGGATAACCACCTGAAATCTGTAGAACAATCGAAAATCTTGTTTTCTGATTTGCTGAAGGTTAGGAATATTGAACAAGCTGAAAAAGGAGATTGTGGAGATGATGTTGTTAATCCAGCTAGAACTAATATGGAAAAACAAACAAATGCTTGGAGAAGGAAAGAAAATATCCATGTGTCTGACTTGGATTTAGGCAGCCTTTTATCTGATAATGGTAAGATTGTTAAACTCCATGATCTGAATGAGAAAGAAAATGCTATCAAACTCATCAACTCATTAGTTGTTAAAGTATTTGGTGGTGAACCTCCTGTGTGGGTCATCAGTTCTGAGCTTAGGAGGCAATGGGCACCATTTGGAAAATTACACCTTACTATGCTAGGCATGGGGTGGATTTTATGTTCCTTTCCTGAATCTGATCAAATGGAAGCTGTAATGTCGAATGGGCAAGATTTTGTAAATGGAAAAATAATTGGGATGGACAAGTGGTCACTGAATTTTTCTCCTACTTCACCGATGGGGCTCACAGCACCAATTTGGACCCGTCTTCCAAACCTTCCACTATCTAATTGATGGAAACATGTTCCAATGTAGACGGAGAGAATTTGGAAGGGTTTGTGTAAGAATAAATTTGGATGCTAAGCTTCCACTAAGAGTATGGGTGGAAGGCTGTAATGGGAGATTCTATCAAAAGATATAGTATGAAAGGGTTCCTAGTTTTTGTTTCAATTGTGGTCTTATTGGCCATAGCAAGGAACAATGCATAATTTCAGTTGAAGTTCCCACTAGTCAAGAGAAGAGGAATATCTCAGAAAATAGAATATTGAAAAGTGCAAATCCTTTGCAAGATTCAAATGGAAGAAATAACGAAGACTCTGGATATAGCCCTTGGTTAATTGTCAACCGAGGGAAGAAGAGAGGTTATAACAGAAATAAAAAAATCTATCATCAGTCCTCCAACAAAGTCCAATGGAAATTGAAAAATTCTAAGACTGATGAAGGAATAGCAAATGTTTCAAATCCTTATTTGCATAAGAATATTGAAGTTGTATGTAATCAGGATCCACAAAATTCTTGGCATGGGAGGGATGCAACTGAAGTTATAACAGTTCAGCAAATTCAAGTTGCTACCCGTCCAGAAAGTAACACAGAATCTAGAGAGTTTTTCTCCATTCACACAGCAGAAAATATGTTTAATGCTCTTGATAATCAGGCCGAAGAAGGGGAAATAATCCAGGAAAAAATTGATGTGGCATTGAAAGCTGATGTAACCTCTTCAGTATTTTCTGATATTCCAGATCAGAGCATGTACAATACAGAAAAGGATTTTAGCTTGGTTAAAAAGAAAAAATCAAAACAACTGAAAGACCTTGGTCCGATTGGCACCAATTCAAGGAGCAAAAGGATGGAGCTGGATCTGAAAACCACAATGGGGAGGTCTTCCCCAGCAATACATTAATGTATTCTCTAGCCTTTTGGAACTATAAAGGAGCTAGAAAAGGTGTGCTTCTCTATTCCATAAAGAGTTTATTAAATTACACAATGTAATTTTTGTGGGATTATTAGAGACAAAGATATCTAATACTGATATGGAAGAAGTCAAGAAGACTATTGGAGATAGTTGGAATTATGTGATGGTGCCTTCGATTGGTTTATCTGGTGGGATTATTGTTCTCTGGAATATAGCCCTAGCTGATTTTGTTGTGCGGGATTTGTCTTCCCAATGTATTATTGGGGATCTCTCAATTTTCAACAATGGTAAATGGAGAGTGGCTGCTATCTATGGTAACAAAGATTTGTATAAAAGAAGGGAATTATGGAACAAGTTGGAAGTTCATTCTAATGAGGAAACACCCATGGTGATAGGAGGAGATTTCAATTGCCTCAATTCAAGTGAAGACAAAAGAGGGGGAAGGAAGTTTCATTTTTCTAAAGGGCCAAAGGAGATGGAGGCATTTATTACTAACAATGATTACCAGTAGGTAAGATTTATTGGGCCAAGGTTCACATGGTGCAACAACATGGAAGGAGGAGCTAGAATCCTTGAGAGATTAGATAGTTGTTTCCTTAACTCTTTAGCTTTAAATTCTTCTAAACATTTGATTGTTAGGCATCTTGCAAGGATTGCATCGGATCATAGTCCGATTGTTCTTAATTTTCTTGAGCATAAATCATCTAAATCCAAATGTTTAAAATTTGAAGATGTTTGGACTTCCTACCCTGCTGCTTTATCTGTGGTTAAGAATGAATGGAAAAAGTCTTATTCGGGTTCAAATGCTCAGATTTTGAATTATAAATTCAAAAGAGTTTTGAAGGCTCTCTTCTTTTGGAGTAAAGCCAAGCTTAAAAACTTGAATCTTCTTAAAGAGAATTTGTTGGAGCAAATAATGGATCTTCAAAACAAAGAATCTAACAATGGTTGGCTTAGTAAGGAAGAATACTGGACATTAAAAACTAAAATCTTTGAGCTCAACTCAACAATGGATAGATTAGACTCTTTGTGGAAGCAAAGAGCCAAAGCAAAATGGTTGAAGGAGGGTGATACTAACTCAAAGTTTTATCATGCATTTGCTAGTGCAAGGAGGAGTTTAAATAAAATTGTGAAAATTAAAAATGATGATGGAGTGGTTATTGAAGAACCAAATCAAATTGAGGAAGTTATAATCAGTTTTCTTAAAAATAAATGGAGACAGAGGAACTCGTCTTTGGAAGGGTGGCCACATCCAAAAGCTATTTTGAATGATAGAGAGAAAGCTTGGCTTACTAGGTATTTTTCTGTAACAAAATTTGAAGTTGTTCTAAAGCAATTAGGAGCTAATGTAGCTCCAGCATGTGACGGTATTACCTATTCTTTCATCAAGTGACGGTATTATGAAGACAGATTTTGTGAATGCAATTAACTCCTTCGTTTTTAATAGAGAGAAGGATAGAAATTGGAAATACACTTTAGTTGTGCTCATCCCTAAAGTGTCTAATACGGTGCTGCCAACCAACTTCAGACCCATTAGCCTATGCAACTCAGTGTACAAAGTTGTGGCTAAGCTGATTCTGAACAGACTCATTCTAGTTGTTCTTAAACTCGTCTCTGAGGAGCAGGCATCATTTATGAAGGGTAGATCTATATCGGATCATGTGCTAATTGCTCAAGAAGTCTTCCACAAATTCAGGTATTCCAAATCCTCTAAAGGTCTTGTTTCCTATCAAGTTGATATGGAACAAGCATATGATTCAATGAGCTGGATAACTCTTCAAGCTGTTTCAAAATACTTTGAATTCCCTCCTATGATATCTAAACTCATTTTGGAATGTGTGATTGAACCAAGATTCTCTTTGACAATTAATGGTTCACTATCTGAATGGATTGAAGCTAGAAGTGGCTTCCGACAAGGTTGTCCACTCTCTCCAATTCTCTTCATTGTTTGCTCTCAACTTCTCTCCAATGCACTTTCTTTATCTTCCGTTGGCATTAAAATCTGCCCAAAAGGTCCTCGGATTTATCATTTACTTTATGCTGATGATGTGTTGATCTACTCAGAAGCTAATAGGAATGTGGCTAAAGAGATTAAAGAAATTCTGGATAATTTTAGCAGGTGGACTGGACAATGCATTAACAAAGGAAAATTTGCTATAATTTTTGGGAAGATAGTGGACAGAAGAAAAAGGAAAGCCATCCAACGTATAATGGGATTTAAGGAGGTGAAGAAAATTACTTATCTTGGAATAAAGATGTCTTTAAAGAGACTAGCTTCAAATGACTTCCTATTCTTCACTGAAAAGTATTTTAAAAGGCTAAACATGTGGGGAAGTAAATCTCTTTCTTTGGCTGGAAAAATTGTCCTAATCAAATCGGTGATCTTGGCTCTTCCAAATTACTATAGCACACACATGCTGGTGCCCTCTCGGATCTTGAAGGAAATAGATAAAATTTGCAGAAAATATCTCTGGAATAAATCTAATGGCTGTAAAGGTATTCATTATGTCAGTTGGAAGGATCTTTGCATTCAAGCTATTAAAGGAGGACGTGGATTGAGATCTTCATCTTCTATGGTGTCCGCTCTGAGAGGAAGACTAGCTTGGAGATTTATAAACAATAAAGGTTCTCTCTTGCACAAAGTATTGGCTTTCAAATATGGCAATAGGATTGATATTGGAAACGGTAAAAAAAGAACCTCTACTTCTTGGAAAATTATCAAAGATGGTGGAAAAACTCTCAATCCAATCTTAAGATGGAATGTTGTTAATGGAAAAACTATTAACACTATGGAAGATAATTGGATCTTAGATAGGAGTATTAATAAATGGCCTACATTTGTTATCCCCCATAATGAGGACAATGTTATGCTGTTTAAATTTATACAAGGAGGAAATTGGAATATAGTAGAATTGAAGAAGTTCTTTGGAGCTGATTTGGTGGACTTGATTCTACAAACTACTATCACTGCAAATCTTATGGAAGATGAGCAGGAGTTGATTAATAAGTTCTCTGGAAAAACCATCTCAGGTTTAATCATAGAAGCCAATAAACAAGGAATTGCAGAATGCAGTTTTCCGAAGTGGTTAAAAAATGCAAGATTAAATCCACTGATAGAAATATTTTGCTGGAGGATGCTTAAAAATGCTATTCCTACTTTCCAATTTCTATCTCATAGAAGATTGCAAGAAAATGTTTTATGGCCAAGATGCTTAGCAGATATAGAGGATGTGGAGCATATTGTTTGTAAATGCAAAAAAAGGAAAGAGGTAACCAAGCAACTAAGCAAATGGGGATATCATATTCTAGATTTTAACAGCATGGAAGAATGCTATACTAGGATTGAAACTATGACCAATCACAAGTGTATGATTGTCAATTTATTTTGTAATGTCTTATATCTCTCTTGGAAAGCTAGGAACACTCTTGTTCATGATAATGTGATACAAGGTGCTACCTATATAGCTACAAATGCAGTCAGCTCTTCATCATTTTCTAAGTTGATTTTTAAATCAAAATCAGAATCAAGGGATGCTAATCAGTCATTTAGACTGTTAAAATCTTGGTATCCCCCTCCACCCAAATGGTTAAAAATTAATATAGATGCTTCTCTTGACTCATCCAATATTGCCGGTATTGGGGGTGTCATCCGTGACTGTAAAGGGAGATTCTTAATGGCCTTTGGCAAATCTTGCATCCATTGGGACATTTCACAATTGGAAATGATAGCTATCAAAACTCTCAAGGAAGTAATCAAAGATTGGATGTTCAAATACAAAGGAATTTGTATTGAAGGTGACAATATTAATGTGATCAAGGTCATTTCATAAAGCTTGGCTTCTTGACTTCAAAGATTTGGAGGAGTTGGAATTCTTAAAAGAATTCAATCACGTCATCTTTAATTGGGCTACGAGAGATTGTAATAAGTTAGCGGATGTTTGTGCTAATCTTGCTAAGGTTAGTAACTTTGTTTGGGAAGATTTAAATTGTAATAAGATTCCTCCTTCTTTTGTTAAAACTTTGAAGGAGGAATCAACCTTCTAGTTACTTTGTTCTCTTCTTAATGCATTTAATGCTTTCTTAAAAAAAATAAAAAGAATAAAAATCATCACAACAAGCAATCTTTATTCATTTTATGTATACGCTCTATTGTAAAAGAAAAATGACTTTTACCTTCGATAAACAAAATTCTACCCTCCAACAGTTCATGTCATCATTACTCCTTAATTACAAACAAATTAAGCACATCTTACAAGTTTTCATCAACTCATATAAAGTTTCCTTCATTTGATATTTAATTATTTCATAAATTTTGGATAAAACTAAACATTGTTTCAAGTCTACATTTATTATCCTAAACGACTCAATTTGTATAACCAACATGACAAAATCTATTCATTTTAGCTACATAAATACATTGCATTAAACCCAATCAACTCAATCGATCCATCACTAGCTACATCCATGAGTCTGAAAACTAATTTTAAAGTTCCCCACATCATAGACTACATTGAACCTACATTGCTTCACTTTACCAATGATAACAATCTCACTTTTATCATTATTTTAGTGATGGTTAAACACACTTTTGAATTACTGTCCAAGTAAACTGTCCTCGTGACATCAAAGTTAGCCATCACTTAGCCATCATATATCAGTACAATCTATGGAACCACCACCTCCGAGTTGCCTGTGAGGTCATATCATGTGGCAAGATTGGACAGCGGCAGCTCTATTAGGTAATTAGTAATTTCTTGTTAAAAAATGTTATAGAGGATGAAATAAAAGGTAGTGGGTGGTAGGTGGCTAATCACTATACTAGAGTCCAACATAGTTCTAGAGCCACTGAATATTGTACGTGAAAGGGAGAGCCTTGTTCTCCAATAGAAATGGAAATGATCTTGAGGAAGTAGTTGGACGGCAGGTTTAGGTTGATTAGTATAAGTGTATACTTCACACTAGGGATAGGGCTTCCTCATTTGAGATATCCAATTGTGCTAGACTTTAATGAAAGATAATATAAGGATACCTTATAATAAAATTGAGTTGTCTCGAAAATAATTAAAAAAGCCCACCCCCCACCACCCGCAGCCAAGGCCTAATAAACCATATGCTTGTCCAAAACTGCCGTATAATTATATACATAGTCATAGCGGAAGTTCTTTATAATACCAAAGGAGAATGTAAAGGTGTCCTGAATGACGGAGCCATAAGTATAAAAATAATTAACATATTCTAACTCAAAGAGATAGGTGAAAATAGTGGAGAAACCAAATCGATCGAGTTGGGAATAATAGTTGGAGTTGCATGAGATGCTAGTGAAGGTGGAGGACTGGGTTGGGTCATAAAATGGGTCTTTTTGGTTATAGTAGTTAATGCAAGGGATAAAATAAGTCAAAGTGAGATTATTATTAGTGTTGAACCTAAATGAGAAAGACTTGGTACGGGTCCCTAGGCCTATGTCGATGATATATTTCCAGTACCAAGAGAACAACCAATGTTTACTAGGACTCTTGTAAAAAGAGAACTGCCAATAGGGTTGACATGAGAAATGGGGTTGGTAGCCCAGTGATGGGTGTATTCGGTGCGAACTTGGTCCTAACGGAGGAGTTCCACATTGTCATTCCTCTCCTTGGGTGCTTGGCAAGAAAAATTGCTGGGAGATGGACCACATTGAGCTTGGAAGGGTTCAAGCCTATCACAATTTCAATAGCTAATTAATATATATATTGAGTTTTTTTTTCTTTTGCATCCCATTTAAGCATTATACACTGATAGGAGACGGGGGGGGGGGGGGGGGGGGGGGGGGGTTGAATATGTAATTTAAATATTTATATTTTTAGAACTTCTTTTAGTACATATAAATAGGCATTTTTTTACCTGTTGATGTTGAAGCGAGTTCATTTCATGATAACAAGAAAATCAAAATTTTCAATCATATAGTTAATCACAGAAAAATTAAAGTGTAGAAAATAATATGAATAAATACACTAGAATTTATAGTGTTTCGATCTAACCTGACCTATGTCCACTCCCCTAAACCCTCCATTCCATAAAGTAGTGTGACACTTTTTACCCCCAATGTAGGGTGGAGAAGCCCTTACAAAATCTCTTCAATCAACCCTACGTGGCAGAGAACCTTACTTTTTTTCACCCTCCTAGCAAAGACAAAGAAACAATAATAAATTTTCTCCCTCCAGGAGATGGCAGAGAACCCATAATCCATTTTCTCCCACCTTTATATGGTAGAGAACAAAGAGCTAGTTCTTTAGAATGTCTACTTAGAGCCACAAATGAATCAAGGCAAAATCTTGAAAAAGACAAAGAAGAACCATACATGGAGTAAATTTGTGAATCCCTCACAACTCTCACTCACAAACAACTCTCCCTCTC